TGAGCCAACTAAACTTCAAGAGGGTACTTACCTATAAGACTCCATGCAAGCCTAAACCTAAGGACTTGTTAGCTTTGTTTGTATATACATACTTGTATATAACATCATGAACATCATAACATCATACTCATATTCACTTACCATTTCAAGGATTTTGAGATTTATCTTTGTTCTGTTTTGTAGGACATGGATTATATTCGCAGGAAAACTATTCAAGTCAATCTCGTAAGGATTCCTCCTCAACTCAAAGAGCTAGCTTAAAGGATTCCTGAAAATTCTCCATTCACCAAAAGACATGGTCGTCTACTAAACTTGGTCACCTCCAACACTGATGAAAACATGATGAAGGTGCTCTTTCAGCTCTTTGATCCTTTACACCATTGCTTCACATTTCCCGATTATCAACTTGTGCCAACTTTGGAAGAATTATCCCAAATCTTGAGGATTCCCATTCTCAATCAACTACCTTTCAATGTTACGGAAAGAGATCCAAAGCCAGAAGAGATTGATCAAGCTCTACACTTGCAATCATCTGATATCACAACTAATTGGGAAACAAGGAGTGGTGTCAAAGGTTTCCTAGCAAAGTTCTTGTTTGAGAAAGCCCAAAAATGTTGGAACTCCTTGGATTTGCAAGCCTTTGAGGAAATTGTGGCTCTCCTCATCTATGGGATGGTTTTGTTTCCAAATCCTGACCAACTCATTGATGTGAACACCGTCAAAATCTTCATATCCCACAACCCGGTGCCTACTTTTCTAGGGGACATTCTACATTCTTTTCACATTCGCACTATGAGGAAAAGAGGTGTCCTTATGTGTTGCACTCCTCTCTTGGAAGGATGGTTTATTTCACATCTTCCCCAATCTGTATTGAAGAACGAGCAAGGTTCAAGGTGGTCACAAAGGTTGATGACACTCAAGCATTTAGACATCCATTGGTGTTCCCGATCTATAGAGAATGTTACTATTGTCGACCGTTATGGAGAATTCCCTAATGTCCCTTTACTTGGAATTAGGGGAGGTATCACCTATAACCCCCTGTTTAGCCTTAAGACAGTTTGGTTACGCCCGAAGGGATGGCCCTCATGAGATGCTCATTCAAGGTTTGGTATTTTACTACGAGAACAACGATCAAGGTCTTCGCCAGAGGTTTATCTGAGCTTGGAGGATGTTGAACAAGGTAGATAGCAAGACATTGGGGCATAAGAATTCCATCCCTCTTGATCCTTACCTCAAATGGGTATGCACTCGTGGTCAAAGTCTTATGATGCCTTATCCCTCCATTCTCCCGGCGATCATTGAGCCTGTCATGGAAGGAGATGTTCCATACATTATCCTACATCCTAACATGCCCATCTCTCTTGAAGACTTACAAAGAGATTGGATACAACTCAAGGGGGAGCGAGACACTTTCAAAGCCCAATTCTACGCTAGCGAGAAGAAGGCACTACGCCAAATAAGCTATTTAATAGCGCTTTTTTTTGTTTTTGATAGCGCTTAAAAGTGCTATTAACCGCGCCACTATTGTAAATATTTCTTATTTAATAGCACTTTAAAAGCGCTATTAAAGTACCAATTTATAATAGCGTTTTAATTAAAGTGCTATCAAAGTCAGTATTTTGCATGTTTTTTGTTTGTTTTTTTATAGCACTCTAAACAAAAAGCGCTAATATATAACATATGTTTGATAGAGCTTTCAAATAAAGTGCTAATAAATGGTACATATTTGGTACAATATTTTTAATAAGTACAGTACAATATTTTTTCTTACACAATCATTTTTTTGGGTGTAAATATAAAATAACTATATTCAATTCAACACAAATAACGCTTTAAGTTACTCATTGCATATATATTATGATCCATCAAATACCAAATAACATTTTAAATTACCAAATGCTATTGTTTCCAAATATCATAACATATAGAATATTAAGAGGACGTTTGCATAGCCAAATTTATACAAAAAGAATATTTGGCCGGACGATGTATAACAAAAGCATCTAACTCCTGAAGATGGCTTGCCTTGAATAATCTTGGAAGCAGTTTCTCTCTTAGCATTATGAGAAGGAAGAAAGGTACTGGAAACAATATTCCACCAATAGGTATCCATGTTAAACCATAGCACAGAAAAAAGTATAGAAGCTGTAAAGCTGTAAATCCAGCTATTGTCTTGAATGGTACTGACTCCATAAACGACGAATGAGTGCCTTCCAAAACTCTGCACATATAAGTTATAAGTTCATGCAGAGGTTATGAAAATAATCTGAAAACAGTTTTATGGATTAATATTTAAGGATACTTACTTGTACTGCCTTTTCGGGGTGATGAAAAGAAGCAAAATTCTCTCAAAAAATTGATTCCCTGGAAGACTATCAATTGCCATGTAAGCAAAATATCCCCAAAGAACTGAGGTAGGTATCCTTTTGATAAGAGATGTAGCTAATAGTAATAAGGCAACAAAGACAGATTGCAATAAGTTGCTCAATCTTTGCTCGTTAACTCGAACAGGCAAATACGCATCTATATGTTTTACAGGATCAAACTTTTCCTTTGTACCAGGATTAGTATTCATTACAGCATCCTTCAAATTCTCCAACTCTCTAGCCTACACCAAATGATAAAAAGAAATATGATCTTTCTTTGATATGTATACACATAGATACAACTTTTTGTCAAGCCAACAATACTTACCGTGGGCACTGCATCCATTTCTATGAAAACGGAGCGCATCGTTCCGTATAATTCAGCGTTCGTCCCTTGGTGCCTAATGCATTCCTTGGCACCTTTCACCACCTTCTTTCGAATCATCTGTGAATTTGACAAAGTATTTTAGTTGATATTTTAGACTTCAGGACTGTCTGGATTGACTTATTTGAACTTAACTATTGGGTAAACATTTGTGATGTTACAGCCTTATTGCAAAATATGATACTGACCTGCCTCCGAAGAATTGCTAAACTCTTTGTATGCATAGGAGACTGAGGAAGGACTCCATTTGATGGAGGAAGACCGAGAAGACCGCAAATCAAAGTCTAAAGGATCATAAGAGTAAGCATGTCAGAAAACTTTAAGATATGGAATTTACATAAAACAAGACTCACACAACACTATAACACACCATTATTCCAAGGAGAAAAACATCATAGTGGTATGCAGATGATTTTTGAAGGTTGAACTCCTTCTGTTGAGCCATCTTGGAAGCTACACTATGATCAAAAAAGTATAAACCTGCTATCATCATTGCCGGAATAAATGATCCGTAGATATACAGCAATGGTACATTTACCATATCCTGCCGTTTGCATTCAGTAGTAGCTTTAGATGGATTTTACGACTTTTGCATAACACGAAAATGAAGACTATTACAAGATGAGAATCAATACCTTCATTACTGTCCAATGGTAGAAAGATGCAGGATCCCAAGGAAGTGGACAAAACAACCTTCTAGGAACAGTAGGTGGAACTTTGCCTGGCACAGCATAAGATATTACAGTCCAAAGCACTACCATCATTGGAACACCATAATCTGCAACCAAGGCTCGTATGCCCCCTGCAAACGCGGAAACTCAAAAAACAGTGACATTGCAAGTGAAATTTTAAGATGCATACCACAAATTAAAGCATTGAAGTACTAGATATTTGGATTTTAGAGTGATTTACCTGTTCCGTATCGCCATTTTCTTGCTTTTCTGCTTAACATGGCAGTGAAAATTAACCCGAAAAAGAAAATGACCGAAAGTAATCCATTTATATACCGCCAATGAAATTGATATTTCTCTAACAAGGGATCTGCAGCCTTTGGTGTCTTGAACTCAGTTAGGAGTTCCTAATGGATCAGAAACATTGTGAAGTTAAAATTCACTTTCCATTTTACTATGAAAAGTTAGCTAGCTATATCTATATCTATATGATATATCCATATATACATACATACATACATACATACCTCTACAGCCTGTTGAAAGAAAAGCACAGTAATTAGCATGCCAAATAATTCTTCTGCAATCCTAGTAAACCTACTTATAATCGTGCACGCGTTGAAAATTGCCAGTAGAATCAGCAACAATGCTGTCCAAATATAACCATCTAATCAAGAGCTCAAATAATCAAAGTAAAGGTGAGTTTTTATATGATTATTGAGATTGTATGATAATGTATGGTGGGTAGAAACATGTTTAGAATTAAACACCTAAATTTCTATGATTTTATAATTATTAGATTTTGGTGATAATCTTTGAACATGTAATGATTAATTTTGTTTGAAATTAGTTAATTAGATGCATTTAGTGTTAAATGAATGAGGTTAACTTGTGAGAACTTTGAACCTGTTAAGCTACTAAGGTGCTGTTTGGTCTTGAAACAAGTAAAAATGTCCTTAATTGCGAAACATTAGCGAAATAGCAAGGCATACATGTTTATTCTTTCCCGTAGCTAAATTATAAGTGCCTAAGTGTTATTCTACTGTAGCAGAAATTGTGAGTAATATAAATGCTCTTTTCACTGTAGCAATGCAAGTGCCATATATTATTTTCCTGTAGCGAAATAATAGGTATCATGTTATCATACTGTAGCGGAATTTGAAGTGCCTTAGATAATTGGCACTGTAGCGAAATGTAGGTGGCATATACTTCTTTTCCTGTAGTGCCTTCTACCTATAAGAAATATAGAATGCAAGGGCCATATATGTTAATGTTCCTGTAGCGAAACTAAATATATTAAGTGCCATAGATCTGTTCGGTACTACAGCGGAAATTGTTAATTAAGTGCCATATATACATTACTTTGGTACTGTAGCGAAGAAAGTGATATATATATAATGGATTAGTGAGAAACAGGACAGTCTTAAGGCTCTGTGTGTAGTGTGACAAATCAAACAGGGACCATATTTCATTATGGTTTAACCGTGACAAATATTTTGTTAGACCCTTTTTAGCCACAGTTTAAACGTGTCAAATTTTGGGCCATATGTGAAAGCCAAAATATATCTATATATATACTTACCAAGCAGCCCAAGCCAAGAAAAGCTGAGCACCTAACTCTGGTGTTTTTGCGCAAAAATTGTATAGATAGGTGTACATGAGATAAGTTGGTTCAGCAACTCCTACAATTAACAAAGGTTGACCACCAAATATTGAGTGGATAATTCCACAAATAGCAGTTGATGCCAATGTTTCAACTGTGCTCAAGCTTCCACCTGTAAAGGTCCATAGAGAAGCATCCATGAGAATATTGTCATGACTAATGAAATGGTCCATAGCATGAATAAGCTTAAAGGTAACAAGGACTTTTTTGCTATCAAGCTGGATTTATCTAAGGCCTAACAAGGACTTTTTATTCTCACCTCAGAAATTGGGAACTCAACAGCATGTTTTGTTGCTGGTTTGATAATAACCTCTGTAGCAGGGTCAGCAGTGGTGAATTCCTGTTCACCCTCTCTGCTAAGTCCTCCATATTGAATTGGCACTTGCTGAGGAGCTATATATCTGTTCCAGTCAAATATTTATCAATAAGAGCTTACTAAATAACAATATCAATAATGATATATTAACAAGGTATGTTCCCAAAGGATCCAAAACTTATCCGCAACTACAACTGCGGCAGTTATATCAAGTTTCCATGTCTCTGCAACAGCAAGTGCAACTGCAGCCGCATCTTCTAAGATTTTAATAAAAGTCTAGGACGGGAATCTGAACTACAAAGTCGAGGCTTTCTATCTCTCTGCAACTATAACGCAACTACAGTTGAGCCTGCACCAACTGTATTTGATCAAACTCTTGCAGTACCAAGGCATGAAACATGACTTAACTCCTCGGAATGAGTGGTATTTGACATCAATTTTTCACAATACCAACAATAGCAACACAAAACTACTTTATAGGCAATTTAAAACCTTGTTGGTTGGAATAAGTGGTGTTTGACATAGTAGTTTTCACAATATCAAGCATGGAAGCACAAAACTACTTCATAGCCAATTTATAACCTCATATAGGTTGGTGATAATAAGATCAATATGTAAGCTTTAAACAACTTCCTTCTTACGGGCTAAAAAACATGACTTGTATTTACGATGAAGCGCTAAAAAAGGAGAAGGAAGGACTTACTTGAAAAGGGTATCAGCAGATTTGGAGGAGCCAGCAAATACAAATTTAAATAGATTACCTCATTATCTTCATGTTCGTTGTAGCAATAGTCAACTGAATACCGACTGCAGCGCAAGAATTAACATTAAATCGAGTAATTGCAATCACCCAATTTAAAAACAACATGTTTACAAGAAAACAATTGCAAATATTTTCATAGATTTGCTACAAAAGAAAAACTACAAGCTTTCACGAAATGTATCCTACAACAAAACTGTTCAAGATTATTTAATAATTAAACAGAAATTGAAACCGGAAAGAACTAAAACTTCACGATAAAAACATGTTAGTTAACTACATCAACCAAGAGAAAAGAACAAAAGCTTGAAGAGAAGTTGAGAGATATAAACTCTACTAGGAGATTTTCATCATAGCCAACAAATAAATAAATGTAACAAATATTTTACAGTACAGAATCTAATTCTCAATACACAACATACTACTTACCCTATTTTCTCAAATGTGTTACTATTCAGCTATGCATTATGAAATTTTACCCAAAAAGAAAAAAATTATAATTTATGAAAATTACTATTCTTCCCGTATTACAGAACTCAAGACCACAAACCTTTTATCAATTAGAATTTCTCAATTATCTCCGATTACGAATTCTCATTCTTCTACCCAACTTCACTAAGCTAAAACTGCATAACTCATTCAGACACTAACCTTATAACAAACAATACAAAAACTGCATACTTCAGAAACCCTAAATCTCGGCTGAAATTGCATAACTCAGAAAACCTAAAACTGACATTTTTCCTCATTTTTTTTCAATTATCATTTCAATGTCCGATTCTCCATTCAAGTATCAGTAATCACAAGCTGAAAAGTGAACAACTAAGAAAGTAATCATACCTAGAAGATTGTTCTTTAAAGGAGATGGTAACTTCCCCTGAAATTTCTGTGCTCACCGAAACCCAGTCGACAGTTCTGGAGGGTTCGAAACTGGTATCTGGATCCGAAAACCCACGAATTTTTGCAACTACCCTAACCTTCGGAGCCGGAATGGTTCCCGCGAAGGCGGATTGGGTGGAAGCCATTCAAAGGATGGGTTTAGTTCAGAGCGAAGTGAACGAAGGATTGGGAGAATCAATGGCTAAGAAGGAAGCAGAGGAAGATAATGTTTTTGGGAGAATCAATGGTAGTGTTTTTGTTTTTGGCGGTGAGTGGATGCGGGAAACCCAATTTTCTGAAAATGTGTTTTGTTTTTTTTTTTATCAATTAATTAATTAATTCATTATTATATATAAGATAGCGCTTTTTAATAAATGCTATTATATAGGTAGTCAAATAATAGCGTTTTATACAAAATGCTATCTTAAAGAAGTTTAATAATAGCGTTTTGGTACAAAGTGCTATCAAAATTACATAGTCTGTATTATATAATAGCGCCCGATTAAAAAGTGCTATTATAAATGTGTTTTTTCCATTTTAATAGCATTTTTTTTAAAAGTGCTATTAAATTAGGTGATACAAAAAATCATTTTTGGCGTAGTGAGGTTTTGGAACTCACTAAGCAACTTCATGAGGAGCGGACTCTGAATGCCTACATCGCACCAAAGAGGATGTGTACTACCTTTTTATCTTAGAGTTTCTGTATTTGTCTTGCCCAAAGAGGCATTGATGTACTCAAGCTTTAATTTATTAATATAACGTGTGTTTCCTTTTTGTCTAAAACAAATTTGAATATTTAAAATCCTTGAAATCATTGCATATGCATCTACCATTCATGATAACATAAGCAGGTTTCTTGCAACAAGTCTCCTCATCTTTCTACTGTTTATTTCAGTAAGATGGATATCGAGCAAATGGTGAAGGATCTCTAAGCACAAAATGCTCAGTCTCAATAGACGTTCTTAACTCTAGCCAAAGGACAAGAAGAGCTGAAGACTTTGCTGGTAGAAGAGAAAAAGAAGAAAACAAAAATAACCGGAGTTCTAAATATGGGAAGAAGATTCCAAGGACAAGCAAGAAGGACCCTAGACTTTGCAACGTCATCTGGTGAGAAAGATAATCAAGATGGGAAATGCAAAGAAACAGTTGTTCAGCCAGATTCAGAAGAGGAAAATGAAGAAGAAGATTATCCTGAAGAACAATACCCTCCAGTCGACGACAAGTATAAGCATCTGGAAGAACGGTTAAGTGTAATGGAAATCTAAAAAGTGCCTGGACTAGACTTTGAGGAGTTGGGGTTAGTATCTGGCATAGTCATTCCTCCAAAATTCAAAGCACCGATGTTCGCCAAATATGACCGAGTTTCCTGTCCCAAAATGCATCTCCAGTCCTATGTAAGGAAAATCCAGCCTCATACCGCTAACAAGGATTTATGGGTACACTTCTTCCAAGACAGTCTATCTGGAACTCAACTTGATTGGTTTTATCAGTTAGAAAGAGCCAATGTTCATAACTGGGAAGATCTGGCCGTTGCCTTTTACAAACAATACCAATACAACGCTGATCTTGCTCCCACCCGTACTCAACTCCAGAGTATGGCCATGGTTTCAAGTGAAGGCTTCAAAGACTACGCGCAAAAATGGAGGGACTTAGAAGGAAGAGTCCAGCCTCCCCTATCTGAAAGAAATTTAGTTGGTATGTTTTTGGGCACCTTGTCTGGACCTTTCTTCAATCACTAAATTGGGAGTTCATCGACAGGTTTTACCGAATTGATATTGACCAGAGAAAGTATGGAAGTTGGGATAAAGAATGGGAAAATTCAAAAAGATGCATCCTCTACTTCTGTAAGGAAACCATTCACTAGAAAGAAAGAAGTTGTTGTTATATATCCTCAGAGAAATCAAGATAGGGCTGAACGTCGTCCAATGGTGGGGGCTGTCATGATTCCTAAACCAGCACTTGCTCAACAAAGAAGCAACCAGCCAAGAATGGAAATACCAGTCAGACAGTTCACCCAAATTAATATGGCACTGTCTCAAGTATTGCCATATTTGTTAAGATCCAATCTAGTGACTTTGAAAGAAGCTCCAAAGAATCCTAACACAACCTCTCCTCATTATCATCCTAATGCCCGCTGTGCATACCATTTTGAGAGTCTCGGCCATGACACTAACAACTGTTGGGCTATGAAAAACAAAGTACAAGACCTTCTTGAATCCAAAGAGATTGAATTTGACGCGACATAAATGCCCAATGTTATCACTGCCCCTATGCCCAAGCACAGTCGTAATGTCAACGTCATTGAGGAAGACATGTTTGTTACTTCAGTTGATGAACTTGTGACCCCACTCATGACTATCAAAAAGAACTTGTTAAATGCCAGTTGTGATACGGTGGGAGAACTGACTTATGAATTTTGCATTTTGTTTTCGCAAATGTTTCGGTTGAGCAAGAGTCGCCACCGACTTTTTATTTTATCCTAAAGAAAGGTTTAAAAAGCACAGCAAAAACCTTTGAGATGTTTTCTTGGGTTCGGGGAGTAGATTATAGAAAGGGAAGGTATTAGCACCCTTTCTATCCATGGTTATCCATGGGCTCTTAGTTACTTGCTTAGATTACTTGCTTTTTGTAATTGTTTGAAATGGTGTTTGTGTGTGTGGGTTTGAAAATATTTTGAAAAGAGGCCAATGTGGTGGCAATCTTTGTAATGATCCATGTGGGGATGTATACAAAGATGTATGTCTTTTAAAAGTTTTCATTTGTTTTTTGAAAGTTGTTTTGAAAGTGTTGTGAGGTGTGAAAGAACAGGCAAATGTTTTCATTTTGCAAGTTGGCAAGTACTTAAGAGCGATCTATCCTAAAGTTCTCAAAGGTTTTGTCATGTTTTTAACCCTTTTAACAATTTTGTTCCACCATTGTATTTGGTGGACAATCTTGTGTTAGGATGTGAAAGGGACGGGCGCGGGTCATCGTTTAGACCATAATTGCAATGGTGCCAAGTATCTTTGGGCATTTTCCTCAAGGGACTTGATCATTTTTAGGCAACTTTTGAAAGCGTCATCGAGGGACTATGATCATTTGAATTGTGTTTGTTTTGCCCAAAGAGACCTAACATGCAATATGGCCCAATTTTGAGAGGCAACAAGTGGATATAACCCTAGGGGTGTTAGTGTGCAAGTGTGTTTTATTGCATACAAGAGTTTTTCTTTGAATTAGGTTTTTCTATTTCATTGATTTTATCTTGTCATACACGTCCTAATTACTAGCAATAAGAAGCGGAAATGTAAAATCCTACGCTATTACAACAATTAGGGGAGGGGGATATACATTTGTACATGGGGGGTTCAACGAGAAAAATAGACAAAAAAGAAAATAGCAAAAAACAAGATATATAGAGAGAGAGGGAGCCCGCGCGCTGTTGGGAGGCCATCAGAAGTTCTGACCCAGATCCGCTGTCAGATGATCAACCTGTTGGTGAAACTGGATGAGTCAGAACTTCTGACCCTAGAACCTGCAAAACAGAACTTTGTTAGTGGGGAAACCAGAAGTTCTGATTTCCCTGCGCTGCAAGACAGAAGTTTGTTAGTGGAGAACCCAGAAGTTCAGATTCTGCTGAAAAGGCAATAACTCTCAGAGGTTCTGATGTCATTGACAGCAAAACAGGCTTCAGATGTGCTAACGTCAAAGTCAGCACTTGGCTTTTTCCTGCACTAATCAGAACATCTGCAATCCTGTTGTTACTCCACAAAACATAAAACATATTTGGAACAGATCCAGCAAAATAGCAAAATGTCTCAGAGGTCAGAATCACCAAGGTCACGGGCAAGTCCTAAACTGGCTCAGAACGTTCTGAGGTATGAGAGTCCTCAGAACATAAACAGCAATAACATGAATATTTACATTATGTTACTTGAATATGTACAGCTGATGATGCTTAACAGTGTGGTGAGGGTCAGCAGGTGCTTACCTGACTTTCTGGAAAATGGTGGGTGAAAGTTAGCTTTTGGTTCTGGTGGTGTTCTGGACAGATTTGGAAAAGGGGAAGTGAAGGTGTATACGTGTATAGGGTCAGAAGTTTGGAAAGAACGTTTTTGGTTTACAGAAAAGAGCTGGATGTTTGATGAAGTTGAAGGTAAGAAACTTAAAGTTATGAAACAAAACTGGAAATTTTGACAGAGTTTCAGGATGTTATGTTGCTAGGAGTTTCGTTTCTCTCTTAGCAATTTTTCTGTTTCTTTTCTTGAACGTTTTTTGCAGTGGTGAAAGCTCTCTATTTATAGGCAAAGTTCTTGTGGATGCCTTGAGCATTTAAGGCGCCAACAGAGTTTGAATCTGTTTTTTTTGACAGAAATTCCTGGGAAGTTGTGATAACAGCTATTTTTCAGCCTAGGTAGCAGCAGCAGGCGTAGATTGGGGGAAGTGACCTCTGAAATGGGCGGTGGCGTGAAGACCCATGCCAGAATCTGTGCAAAAGCATGTTCCAAGCCACACGTGAACGCTCAGGAGTGGTTGGAAGCATTAATGGGCATTAAATGGTGACAAGACCTGTCAATACCAACATTCTGGTTGTTGAATCAGCAGCGTAAACCATGCTCTAGCCTTGGCTACCTGTTGTCTTAGCAAGCTCTGTAGATTCTCCTGGCTTTCTGGTACGTTCCTTGGGTCTACTTCTGGACAATCTGGACTTAGAGATTCTGTATCAATGTGACACCTATCCCTCTGACCTTTCATCTTCTGACTTCAACCTGTTCTGAAGGAGCCTTTATACTTTCATGTTTCTCTTGCATTCCTTTAGCAAGTTCTGACTGAGCTTGTGTAACTGCTGAAGGGGCATGTTCTGTTTGAGGCTTACACTCTGAACCACGTTTACAACTTCTGATTGAACTGATGTAGCTGCTGAAGAGCCAACTTCTGACCATGTTGAGCCAAACTTGCAACTTCTGACCGTCTTCATCTGGAATGGGTCCAGAAGTTCTGAAGCGCTGATTTTTCAAAAAACACTTATTTGATAGGAACATTTTAAGCACTTAGAATTTGATTTTCCTCAAGATGAAAGCGTGGTTTCTGGAGTTTGTGAGATCATCTTGCTCTTGTAAGTGACTTGCTTGGGCAAAAGGATAACTCAGGACTTGGATTTGTTTCAGGG